GTCCCCTACTCTCTATTCTTAGTTCTAAGTGCAAAGAACATAAGGAACGTGGCAGTTGCCCACTGGGAGGTTTCTTTTTGATTAGGGACCTGACATCTTTCTAAGCTTTTTTTTTTTTGCCTCTCTTTTAGTTAGGTCAAATATCCTCTCTAACGGTAGAAGCCCTCACTTGCCTGGATCGGGTTTGCAAATATTTTAAGTGAGAACTAGACTTTCATACTACATTCTTCTAGAGACCATAGATAAGTAGGATGAGTATCTTTGATCAAAAAGTTCATAATCCAAGTAGATTTTCAGCCTGTTGAGGCCAGGCAAGGATACTACACTAATTCAAACAACACCAGTCTTCCTATAATCTGACAAGCTTAGTAAACTGAGCCACTGGAACCCAGTGGGCACAGCAGTAGAGCAAGAGTCATGAAACTTGAGTTGCCAAACTGTGTGACCTCGACACAATACTATAATTCCTGTCACCCCTGTCTTCCATCAGGCACTAGTTTACTTGTTTACTCCATAGGCAGTTCTAATGTCCAATCTTGGCTAGTCTCCATAGATCTCGGTAAAATGAATGAAAAAATAGGCTAAAGGATGTTTAAGGGCTCTGCTAGCAGCAAAGTGCTTTTTAAAAATGCTCTTTTAAAACTCTTGCTATTTGGAAGCCATAAACATTCTTGGTCTATAAGCCATTTGAGCTGAAACAATTACCATGTGGCAGTGTTATAGATACCCAGCTCAAAATCAAAACTGTTGAGAACAGGTGGATAGTTTCAAGTCCATAATGTTCTGAAGTGCTTACATAATGGGGGCACATTGTGTCTTACTGACATTTGTTTCAAAAATAGCATTCTTCGACAGACACAGTGCCCCAACATCCACTTTGATTTGAATTTCTTTAGAGAAAAAAAACTCACTTAGGAATCATTTAGAAAAAGACTGATTGGTTTTTTTGTTCTCTAACAAATTTAATTCATTTTGACTCTTTATTGAGACTGTATGGCAGATACTGAAATCTCTTTTGCAAAGCTTTCTTCATCTCTGCCTTCATCTTTTCCTGCTCTGATCTATTTTACATACTAAACGCATGAGGATATAGTCTAATATAAAGCAATGCTTATCTATGTGGTTTTCATGTTCACTGAAAGAAATAGTTTCCTATTTCTTACCTTTTTGCTAATTAAACATTAAGAAATCTTAAGGCTTTTCTGCTCTTTTTTTCCCTTAAACAACTTGCAAACCACAAGAGGTCAGACCTGTCAGAAACAAAAGCCTGAACTTTCATTTTCTCCATGTCTATCACTGAGAGAGAACTTGAAAACTTCTCAATGTCAAAGGATTTAAAAGGTGATAAAGATACATTTAGCTTATGGGATCATCATCTCTAACAGAAATCTCTTACTCCAAACATGATAGAAATGTCTCATTTTCATAGCCACAAGTTTTAGAGTTAGGTGGATTTTGGCAGTCTGCTTCAAGGGTTTGGTTTGCTGTCAGTACTCTGGAATCACCTTGTGCTATAAAGGCAGAAAGCATCAGAGACTTGTTCTAGGTCAGGAGAGGGAGGAGGATATTTCTGTAGGAACCTTAATCGGCTATTACTATTGTCTTTAGTAGAAAGAACTGCAGGGGAAAGGTGAAAGCTTCCTCCAGAATTTTTACCTTTTTAGAAGTGGACAGAAATTATATGAATTAATAATCAAAATGACTCTAATTTTTAAACTCTTTCCCTCACAAATATATGAATTAGAAATAGATGTAGGCATGCAGAGATTAAATAGCTACAGTACAAAGGTTTTTCCAGGGGAAAATCCAAAGGCCAGTGAAAAAGCTGACCTCCTTCTGGACAATGTCAGGAAATCTGCATTGCTCTGTACCACTGGGTCTCACGTCTTGCTCAGTGAGAGGATGATACTGATCTATTTACAGAATGACATGTTTCTTTTGGCTAAAGAGCTCTGGTCATTCAATTTAGATGGGCTAGTAAAAAACCATGAATAGCTTGGGTACCCTGAGTCAGTAGGAACTGACAACCTAAATTCTCTCTCTCTCTGTCTCTCTCTCTGTCTCTCTCTCTGTCTCTCTCTCTCTCTCTCTCTCTCTCTCTCTCTCTCTCTCTTACTAGAGATTGAATCCACGGCCTTTGCACTAAGTCACATTACCTGTCCTTTACTTTTAATCTTTTGTAAATCGTGATGCAAGGCCCCATTAAATCATTAAGTTGCCCAGGTGATGCTTGAACTTGAAATTCCTGCTTCAGTCTCCTAGAGTGCTGGAATTACAGATGTGCATCATCATACCTGGTTTAAATTTCTTGCTTGTAGTACCATAGCCAAAAACAAAAACAACAAAAAATTCTCTCCAGAGCAGCTAAAGCACTATGTTCTTTTCTAATAAATTTCAAACTATCTTTGCAGATGAGGTGAACCTGAAACAACACTTTGGCTGTTGGAGGTATAGTGTACATGGTGAAGTACATGGACATCATAGTCAATGACCTAGGTTCAAAGATCTGTGCCATTGCTGTGGTTAGAAGTCTGTGTACCTCCTCATGCACATTTAATCTAACCCCCAGAGTGACAGTATTAGGAAATGGAAGTCTTTAAGAGGTGATTCAGTTGTAGCACACTGCTCTCATGAATGTGATTAGTGCCCTTCTAAAATAGACTCAAGAGTATGTTCAACTTTTCTATCAATTATAAGGAAGAAAGTAGACCCATAGCTGGTGATGAAATTTGCCTTGATCTTTGCAGCTTCCCGAACTGTGAGAAATAAACTACTGATTTATAAGTTACCAGTATAAGCTATTTTGTTACAGTGGCCCAAACAAGCAAGATAGCCACTTAGGCTCTTTTAGTCTTTGGCATGTGACTTCACCTCTCAGCCTCAATGGTCTCACATGTATGATGAAGTTATTTACAGCATCTTATGTTATGTGATACACGCAGAGCACTTAGCACAGTATCTGGCAACTAATGACTGTACAATAAGTGATAATTATAATAATAATAGCAAAATATTGCATGATTATTTCAAGACCTCTATTATTACAAAAACTCAATTCAATGCATATTTGGTTGGCAGTACTATATTCCAGACATTAAAAAGTGAGCCTTTACTACGTATCAGATAATTTACTAAGTTCGAGGGAGAACTGTAAGCAAAATAATTCCCTTTGAAACCTGAGTGCTGGGGAGAAAAAGATCAAGTAAAAGACAAAAAAAGTTCTTATCAGTAACTTGTAAAGTGAGAGGTTATCAGAGTTTCTCAGGAGCCTCAAAAATTGTGTCAGGTGCTTTATCTCTTGTTCGACCCTCTCTGGAATTAGAGTCTTCTCTTTTTCACTGCTGGGTGTACTTGAACCTCATGTACATCGCAGCCCTACTCCAGTTCCCAGGTCCAGCCTGACAGAAGACAAGAGATGACTAGTTTCAGCCCCATAGAGACAGGCTGAGGGTTCAAATTGCCTTGCTGCTTATCTGGCTGGAGGACAGTGCCCTAGTTTTGATACCTGAGGCCCAGCCTCATTTTATGCCATAGTTCCCTTTCTGTTTCCTTATTTTTAGAAATGAGTTTTTGACTTTGTGCTTCTTCCAAAAAGTCTCTTCCAAAAACTTATTTAGTGACCCCAGTGTTCTCTTATTACTGGAGAGCTATATGCTATATTTGCTGGTTCTTGTCTCGAGCACTAGAGTCCTTTTCCTGAACCTCAATTCAAGTGATAACCTGGGTGTTTGCTTCTTACCAGCTAAAAACGTTTCTAGCCTATCGACAAGTTCCCCAATCATGTCACTCCCTGTGCTAATCTTTGGATCCAATCACTGCAAATAATCCTTATCTGTTAGCACTAAACCTCTGCTGTATTTATACTAGTTTGCTCGCGAGAGGTTCACCTAATGGTCAGTTCTTATGTCCAGATCTGGAGATCTGATTTTCCTAATTACAGGCCTATCCCATTTAAAACTAACTCATCAAAGTTTTCTGAAAATACCACTGTGGCCTGTTTTAAAGCCCTAATTATTAGTACTTTTGCTTTTGGTCAGTGACCAAACATTTGGTAGAGCCCTTTTGTCATTCATTCATTCATGTACCATAAATTTTTACTATATTCTGGCTTCTGAAATATTGAGATGAATCAGACATGTTTTCTGCCCTTGAGAAATTCATAGTTTTATAGGGAGGATTAACTTTTAAATACTTTTGTAGGGAGGATTAACAATATAGATTTAGAAATACTACACGAATATAGAAAGTATTGCAAAGAAGCAAAATACAGGAGCATGTTGGTATACTCAGGGTGCAGGCAGATATTGTGGATCAGGGAAGGCTTCCTGAAAGAGATATTATCTTTTGAGTTCTGGAGTATAAGTGGGTGGTGATACATGGCTGGAGCTAGGGAGATAGGCAGATGTTAGAATATGAATACTTTTACTTGCCATGCTAAAGAATGTGACTTTTTAAAGTAGGAAATTTCAGTAATATGGATATCTGATTCACCAAGGTAAAAACAAAGCAAGGAAACGAATTAAATGATTGACAATGATGAAAATCTTAACTATGGTTATGGGGATGAAGAGTATGTCTAGATTTGAGACTTAATAGCATTCATAGAATGTGGTGACTGACTAGGTATGAAAGAACAATAAGAAAAGTTGGTGGGATTGCTTAGGCAGAGTTGCATAGGGAGCTATGTGGGTGGATGATTCTACTGCATGAGACAAGGAACACAGAAGGAATAGATCTTCAGCAGAGGGAAGACTGTGCTTAATGTTGCAAAAAAAATCCTCCAGTTCTATGTTCCATTTAGTGAAATAATTGTGTTGCCCGAAGATGCTATTAGCAACCTACTTTTTAAAATTCCAACTACAGAAGAAAATCTTTTTCTTTATAGACCATATGAACACTATACAATTGGATAAGTGCTGCATTTGAAAATCAAATTCCTATCTTCTTTTCTAATTGTAAGGCACAAAGATAAATGAAAACAGAGTTAAAAAATCACTTACCCCATAGACAAGCTCTCCAACCATGCCATTCCATATTTTAGTCTCAGGATCCCTTGCACCGTATTTCCCATCACCAACAATGGACAATTTGTATTTGATCCTTACATGCTTGGCAATTTCATAGGCTAAATCTACACAATAGCCTTCATATCGTTCATTTCCTTCCAGTTGCTCATGGTTTTTCTTATACATTACATATGGTGATTCCTTTGAGACCAGAAGTGAATTCAAAGTATTACTATTATGTACTTTACTAAGAGATGTTATAAATAATCAAATCTTTTTCTTGGTGGCTATTGAGTTTGATGTGTGTAACACATATTTACAAATTTTTCCTTAATAAGTAGAGAAACATCCATTGACTATTCAGTAGGACACATACTCCTTGAAGTCCTTACATGATGGCTTGGGAAGTAGAGAAAATTTGACTTCTTTTTGAGAGTTTGAAAGACGGACTAGTTTTCAGCTGTAAAGTGTTTGATTTAGTCAAATTTGGCACAGATATATCTGTTAGTTACATGAATGCAAACTACCTTTGACTTCTCAGGATTTGCTAGATAAGAACCAGTCAGCTGAGGCAAGCCATAGGGAAATACTGTGGTTTTGGTGAGGTCAGGTCTGTAGCATATTTATTTTTCTATCTCCAGGACCTAGTAGAGTACTTAGCACAAAGTAAATATTTGATACATATGTTCAAGTGAAAGGTCAACCTCAGTCAAGACTCCACTGAGTTAATCAATTTCACATCTAATACAGGCCAAGTTTCAGACTTGCTTTTAACCTCATTCGATAAAAAATAGCATTTAGAAAAATAATTAAAAACTAATTAAAAATACTATCTCACATTTTAACTGTGCTTTGAATTTTATTTGAAAACTTTATATGGAGCATTGTGCCTTGAAATGGTCTTATTCCATAGGCAGGACAATGTTATGCCCATTCCACAAATTTAAAAGCAAAAACTGAGGCTCAGAGAAGTTATGACTTTCACTTTCACAGTTACAGAGGTAGGTATACTATATACTATAGTATATCTATCTAATATTAGAACCTCAATATGCTCTTTTCTCTTCACTGTGCTGCCTCGCCAACAATGAGGAATTTCATTTCAGGCTGAGATGAAACATCAATCTTATGGGAACATGGCAGGAATAAAGAGGGGAATGATACTTGAAGCAATTCAGATTCCTATTCTTTTCCTTTCTTTTAAAAACAACGTTGTATTCATGGCAAGATAATTTGAACAGTCCCTGTGTTGTCCTGTTGAAAGTTTTTACTACTTGAACTTGAGATATTTTCTACTGGCTGAACAATGCTTTTCAGAAAATAGAAGTCTTGCTACACAGAAAATCCACTTATTCGCTGCCACACTTACCAGAATGGTAGTCACTACTATGGTCCGGTTCTCTGAAGATGCACTGTCATTGCTGATTTGCTGATCGGAGAAAGGTACAAACCTCTCATACTCGTTCCAGTAGCCAGCCTAGAGAGAGCAGACATTTGACCTGCATGCCTATGTTTCACACAGAAATTCAGCTGCTATTGTGCAAATGAAACTTTGTTCCCAAGTAGTTGAGCTTTGCAAGGACTGATGTCCTGTTTTCCTTTGTCTTGCTACTCCTACAAGGACCCCAACATCAACACACAGTTCTGCTATTCCTTCATTCTGGGGTTCCCATCCCCACCTAACTCTTACTGATATGTAAAATAGTGTATCCCCTTTTTTGATGATTGGCCTTCCCCCATTTTAAACACTTGCAGCAGAAAAATAAATTGTTTTGAACTGTAGGATATCAGGGAGGTAGGGGTAAGAAGCCAGTGATTATCCTGTAGATATGACACAAGATATTTTATGTTTTGAGGTTTTATCAAATGACTACTAAATTCCTACTTCAAGCCAAATACAACTTCTACTAAGATATAAATAAACTAGTCATATAAGAAAACTCAGCTACACAAAGAGAGGTATTTTCCAGAGTCTTTTTGTGGGTGAACTGGTAAAATGGGAGGAATTCTATTTTTTAAGTAATTTTTGATTGAAAATCTATGTACTTTGGAGGCTTCTGTTTAAATACTAGCGTGATATAAAATTCATGATTCCTTTTCTTTACTAGCAGAAGCTGTTAATGAACCCACAAGTTGATCATTTTTGTCCATTCTTGCAGTCTATCTTTTTTTTTTTGGTACTGAACTTATGACCTCATGCTTGCCAGGCAGACATTTATGCCACTGAGCTAAATCCCTGGCCTTCTGGCATTCTATCTTTTAAAACAAGTGGATTGAATCTTCCAATGACAAAACAATTCTGTGCATCTTATCTGTGCTCCCCATGAGTCAAACAGGCAAAAATGATATCGATGAATCTCAGCACCCATTTTCTTGCATCTGAGTAGTGTCACCTTCTGAAAGACCTTTTCTTTGAACGTTTGTTTTGGTTACTCACTTTCCGAGAGCCAGTGACCTTCATTTCATACACATCTATGGTATAATTTGTCCTGCGTCCATAAGTGTCAAACTGAATGTTTCCAGTCATTCCTTGTACTTGGACCTATAAAAAGGAGAAATATAAAATGTTAAAATAGCACTGAATTATTGTCTTGTATGTCACTGGGTTGAAGTCCACTGACAAATCTTTATATCTTATATAATTTTTATTTAAGATCATTGAACTCTATCTACCAGATCAATGCTATACATCTCTTCGTTTCCTTTACAGTATTTTCTCAGGATACCTTTTATTATGAAGCTTCGAGTGGATGTGAGAGTCAGTTGCCTGTGTGATACAGTGAGAGCCCTACCATCACTTTTCCAAAGTCCTGAAATTTCTATTAGCTCCTTCTTAAGAATACCCTTCAGGCTATTCTCTGAACTAGGTTAATACATTCTTCTAAATTACAAGTTCCCTGGGGGCCATGGCTGTGTCTTACCTTAGTATTTCCAATATTTCAACATAATCTCATTTCAATAACATGAGCTCTGGAGCTCCTGGATATATGTCCTAGCTTTATCAGTTACTAACTGGTTGACTTTGGGTATATTCCTTAGTGCTTTTTAAAAATCTCAGTGCTGTAATCTGTTTTATCCTTCAGAGCAGTTGAGATGATTAAATGAGTTACACATATGTAATGTAGAAAACAGTGTCTGGAGTATACTAAGCATTGTAGTGCCTTCCAGCTATCTACATTAATTATTATTATTAACCAAAAGGGATTTTATTGTTTCTTGAGTGGATTATATGTTTATCAGCTACTTCAGTGACTGAAGGAGTTTTTCCACTCAGAGGTACATATGCCAGGGTAGGGAATCAGAGAGATAAACCATGGAGGGAGAATCCAAAGACTAGCCTAATTTGTTAACGTATTGGCTGAGAAATATCTTGCACTAAACAAGACAGAGGTAGTGAAATACTAAAGACCTGTTTTGGATGTCAAAAGCAGATTACACATATTTCACGATATGTGTTCCCTGAGTCTGGGCTCACTACTAGGAACTTAAAGGGGCCATCTCTGCTGAGTGGAGACATTTCCTCATGCGTCTTACTGGATGAAAGACCCTCTACCACTAAGTCATTATTGTTAACTGCTTGCATTACTCATCTAGTGAGTCAGGGCCAAGGGCTTTGCTTAAAAAAAAGAATATGCCTTTTTCTGTAGTATGAAAGAGATAATGTTTGCTTCTTTCCTGGTAGAAAACAACAAGCTGTGAAGAAGTCAGAGGTGGTATGGTAATGGGCTTGTACTGCAGAAAGGAAAATTGATGCAAAATGTTAGGGAACATTTTCTACAGGAAAGAGGGTTTGCTCACCACCAACAGAAGACTGTGGAATTCATGGTGAAGACTATGACTAACTAAAACCAAGCCCATCTGATTAAACACACTTAAGTGGTATTATCAGAATAGGCTTGCGGAAGATGAAATCAGATTTCTAGCTAAAGAAAAATGCTTTGGTGAGATAGGAGTTGCTTAACCAGTAGGATGGGACTGATGCATGAAAAGCTCTTCATATTCTACCTTGAGCACTGAAATCCAGGACAGGAGTTAGGCAGGACAGAGACAATGACATGGGAGATTATTAAGGACACCCTCTACTGTTGAAAATACTAAAAGTGTCAAGTCTCAATAAGTCTTCAATAAGAATTACATATTTCTAAAGAGTTGGCTTATTTGAGCATGATTTATGAACTAGAAAGTCATGTGTCCAAGAGATTTCAAACTTCATGATTCAAACTTCATGATTGTGAAATATGTGTAATCTGCTTTTGACATCCAAATGTTTAGCGTGCAGAAGTAGAATTGGATGACCACTCAAAGAGAAATCTATTATTATGGTATTGAATGTCACTGACAGTTTTCCAGAAACCTATCTACAATCCCTTCTTTAATTCACAGCACCCTGTGTATCATTATTAATTTCCTATGTATTTGTGGCTCCATAACTAGATTGGGAGCATCTCAGAATGATAGATACTCTTCTTTTGTGCTCTCTGAAACACTCTCTGAATGTTTGGGATATAGCAGGTGTTCAATACATTCTTATTGAACCAACCTCAATGATTTAGAATCTGTCCCAGATATCTCAGCAGAATATGCTCAGGCTTGTCTTGAACTATTTGCAGATTTTGAGGAGAATAATTAGCAAATTGCAAGAGGCTTTAAGATATTTTAAGGAATTTGGTTAACAATTTAAATGTGCACTCATATTATTTTATGATTGTTACCAATGTGGAGAGTGATACATAGCCATAGGTGCTCAATACATGTTTACTGAATGATGTGGTTATATATTCACTAAAACAGTCCCTTTAGGTGACTCTATCAGGCAACAAGTTTGTTTGCTAGATTTCTTTGAAGAAAGAATGATTTATTGAGAAAAAACTATGTGCTAGTCACATGAGAGATGCTGCTACATCATGCAATCTCACTTTTATTAATTCAAGTGAGCATAGACTTATTTTAATGTAGTAAAACATTTAGTACTTAGAGCAGCTTAACTTGTAGTCTTTTTGAATAGCGTGGTTTTACTTGGACACTTTTGGAAACAACTGATGCTTTTTAGATCCTCGGGAACAATAGAAAAAGACTGGCCTGTAGGAAGCGGTGAAAGATACTATCTGATTGAGAATTGGAATCATTAAGGTCTGGGCAGGAAAGTTACTTACATAACTTATAACTTGAGCTTTATCAGTGAGCTAGACATACAGGAATGGAACTTTCATGTGCAATAGTGTGATCAATCTCATGTTTTTCTAGCCAAATTAATTTCTCATTCTTGATTCTAGTGGCCAGTTTTTTATTTGGGGAAGGTAGTTTTTGTGCCATGAAAGGATAATCAATTGGAGATGCTGGCTCCTGCCCCTTGAGGTTTTGTTGATGAAAAATCCTTTCAATTCATTCTGAGTGAGTCTTATATTTCACTCACCATTATATTTCACCTGACAATACAAATCTTGTAACTGCTCTGAAGGTTGGATTTAATTAACTACTCTTCAAAATTGTGCAGTGCTTGCTACCTCCATAAAACTACACTTAGGGCATTTGTTAGGGGACTGACATAATGACATAAAAATCTGCATGATGAGAGAATGAGTCATATCTCTTTCTTGGAGAGAGACACAGGGGCTACTAACCCTTTTTGATTGAATGCTTCCAACTTGGCAAATTTAAGGCAGCAGTAAGAGAGCCAACTCTACAAAATGATGTACGTTATGAGGCCATTACAAATTCTTCAGTACAGGGTTGTGAGGATTATCTTATCTTTGCCTATCTCTTTATTCATTTGGATGTTCCAAACATCATGATAATTAAGTAGAAATAAGAGATTCTTGTACTCTTGAAGGCTCATTTTAATGTATGCAGGCACATGTGGCAGGCATAAAGCAAAATATTCAGGAAAGAGCTCTTGCTTGGAAATCTTCAATGAATGGATGATGCTGCTTCTAGTGTAAATAATGGAATCTGTTCAAAGGGCACTGCTTGAAGCCTTAAATGATCTTCTACCCAGTAAATACTAAAAACAAGAGACCTATTTGATGGTCTAGCCATTGATTCTTTGTACTTTTATTTAGGCCTTTTCTTTGTAGCATTGGGCAAAAGCCTTTAGGTAGGCCTAGAAATGTATCATGTTCCCTCATTCCACCACGCAGAATAGTGTAATTGTTCTTTCTGACAACAGAAATACTATCACAGTGGCTCGGTTCCACAGTCTATTCAGGGTAATTTGTCTGATGAGCCCAAGGATGCTGTTGTCTTTTGTAGTGTCTGTCTTGGTTAGGAGCATCTTATAAAATAATCACGATCTCACTAAGGGATGTTATATTTGTGGGACACTTGAATTTTTTGAAGCTCTTTACATATTGAAGCCATAACTTTCAGGACTTCTGAATTCCGTTTGTGATGTGTACTACAATCCAGAACCAAAGATTTACCCTAAATTTACTATTTTTTCAATCTCAAGATAGAATCCCCTATGTTTCAACTTCTAGATTTGGATGAGTAAATATTCATGTTCATTTTTCTTTATTCTAAGATTCTATAAATTATGATTCTATTCTTTTGAGTATGTCTTCTTTCAGTTCTGAAGTCTCATTTTTTGTGTGCCTTTATTAGACCTTTTCAGACCAATATCTCATTTGGAGTCTTTACCATTTTCAGAGCTCTCTCAATATCAATTCCTTGACTCCAGGGCACAGCAGGATTTGCTAAGCAGTCTCCAGCACTACCTCTTCGAGACACATCCACTCGCTGTCTCCTCAGGTAGCGGAAAGCTTCTGCTATGACCAGTATTGCATCGTGCGTCAATGCAGATGTATACTAAAACAGATGCATGGAAAAAAAGATATCATGACAAATGACATTCTCAAAACTTGCCTTGTTCCTTATAATTTTCACTCATTTCTATGTCTTGTTCTGTGAGGTTACCAACCTATTTGAGTCAAGAGATCTCTCTGGGTAAGCCTGACTTTGATTCATTCTAGAATGATGCCTCTTACCTCATATGTGCATGTGTTACTAAGATGGAATGGCTCAAGGGAATGTCTCTCTGGCTCTCAATATCGTGTTTCACATTAAGTGAAAAGCCTGCATCCTTTACAGGCAGGCAGATGCATATAGGTAGACAGATGCATGTGAAGTTTAAGGGTGGCACCTATAGATTGAAGAGGAAATAGCGTATCCTAAAGCAAGACTGAGTTATTGCTGTTTGTAATAGAAAAATTCAGATCTGATATTTACTTAGGGGAAAATGGAAATAGCTAAGTTAGACAGCTTGAAATTAATTTGGAGGGAAACATTAATCATTTCTGTTTGGACCATGTTTCTACTGAGCTAGGACCTCTGGCCAGCAATAAATCAGTTTTTGTTTCCTGGAGGGAGGGGGGTAGCAAAAACCGAAGCTGGTTTTCAATTGTAGAAAATTGCAATTGTTATTAAGTTTTAAATCTGATAACACTGACAATTTGTAGGCAAAGCTTCATGATGCTACATTTTTCATGCCAAAACACATATTTCCTTTCTTGGGTATATTCATATGCTCTGCTAGGAATGAGGCCAAGTCACTTAATATGGGAGATGTGATTATCTGCAATTTGAAATGGTGAATGCTTTTTTATCCCACTAATCAACAAAGCAATGATTAAAGTAGGTTTGGGCCTATTTTGTAAAGGTGACAAATACTGGTAAGATATAGATTCTGCTGAATTGTTTTAATGGAGCAAAATACACAAGGGAGAGTTCTCTCTGCAGTATCTCAATATACAGTTGGGAGTGAATATGTTGCTGTTTATACAAATATCAATTTGATTTTCTGACTTTTCTAATGGTATTTTTCTTTGAGAAACAGATCATCAAGTATGACTATAGAAAGTTCTTTCATGAAGAAAAATATCTGTGTCTCTTCTAGCATTGCATAAAGCCAGGATAGTGGTGATTTTCTTTATGGCCAAATGCATCAATTGTCAGCAATCTGACTGTAGTCCTTCCTAAGCCATTCCAAAGTAGCTAGCTAATTTTATACTTTATTTAGAGTCTACTTACCCATGCATGAGAATCCCCCCTCTAGAAAAAGTCCGAAGAAGAAAGCTTGTAAAATACTGAGTAAATGAAGCATTGCCATTTTAATTTCTAGATAATTTTATTTCCTAATGAAAATATTATACATAAGTTTTAAAATTTTTTTTATTAATTGGCTTCATTCTGGCAAATTCATACCTGCACTTAACACACTCTGATCATTTTCACTGCTCTCATCATTCCCCTTGCGTATGTTTTTAACTTGGGCTTTTTGTCTGATTTAGGAAATAATTCAGTTGTGTAATAACTAGCACTAAGGAAAAGTAACCTGCAAGCTGCAATTATTTGTATAAAACTTAAGTTTTCTTAAGTTATTTAAAAACCTGAACATCTTTTTCTTAGCAGGTTCTAGAATTTTGCATCACATAAATCAGCTGTTAAGGATCAATGGAAAATTCAGAGCTGAGATAGTCTTCTATTTCATTTCAACAAGTTCTACAAGGTTGAAAGAGGAATAAATTATTCTGCAGTATCCATTTTATGGTTTTTATACTTGTTCACCTTTTTTGTGCCTAGCACAGTTTCTGGTGCATTGTACTAAAATATTGAATACATGAATTTCTTCTATTTATTAACTGCTAAATCTGAGAATCACAATGCAGTTTAGACAGGCAGTTTTATGAAAATCTAAATTTAGTGAGAGGATAAATATCAGTTTAGTGTATTAAAAATAATTAGAAAGAATTCTTCACTGGAATTGGGACCACATTTATTGAACCAAAATAGGACACCTGATCTAATCACAGGGCAGCAAGCTTTAAAAAAGGTCTATCCTGGATAAATCTGGCATGTATAATCCACTGCAACCATAGGGTACCATTTAATTAGTAAGTGATATAACTGAATTTAAAAATTATGCTTAACTCACAATTTTTCTAGGCCAATTGTTTAAAGTACAGTCTCACAATGTGACTCATTTAGGGTAGACCTGCATAGATAGTATAGAATGTATCTCCTTTGTGGTCTGTGTTCCCTACATTTTTTATCTTTTCTATTCTTGCCAGGAAGGAAGGATGTGAAGTCAAGTATCTTGAAACCATGAGAAAAGGGAACTTTCCTTTCTTAGGAGAGAGTTTGACTCTATTTGATCCTTCATCTTGTATAATAGCCATGGTTCATACTTTTATTGTAGCAAGAAGGAAGAATTTAAAGTCAATTGTTTCACGCTTGAATCGATGCACTGAGGGAACAAGTTACTTAAAAATACATTTGAAGGATCCTTTGTGTAACATGAATAATTTCTCTCTAATTTATCTGTTTTAATTCTTAAGTTTTAAATAATAGAATTTCTAGCCATAGGGAAGCATGCATGAAAAATGTGCCCTGTAAACATGACTTTCTGTTTTTAATATTCTTATCTTGATTTTGTGAAAATGAGCAACTTAGGTAATCTAATTATTTTAAAGATATTTTGCAGCAGGCAGGAAAGCATTTCTGATACATATATATTTATATTTATATATATCACATATTCTGTATTAGAGCTTAATTCACTTGGGTGTTCTGAGATTCATGGAACTTATTAACACAAAGCAATCACATAAATAATTTAAAATCTAATTTTCTTTTTCAGACTATCAATCTTCCTTACCTATTCCCACTGCCTCCACCCTTTGCCTGGCTCAGGTTCTTTAATACTGTAGATTATTATGAATATATTATAAATGAAATTCATTACAAATTTTAAGTTAACTTATTTCTAAACACTGAATCATCCTGGGGTGTTCAGTTGTCAAATCCAATAGCATCATCTGCAGTCATTTTCATTTAGCATCTTTAAATCGCTTCTGGGGAAAATCTTATGATCACAGGATGACCATTAGTATATACAGGCTATACTAAATGCTTGGAAAAGCCTGTTTGAGGCTTCTACATGCCATGGACCATTACCTTCAGTGGTGCATTCTTGGCTTCAGGGAATTCTCTTTCATCCAGCCTCACCCAGCGCTGTATGAACTGCTGAACCATAGGGTTTTCGTTGTTGACAATCTGGAAACCTGTAATGTTGGCTCCCCCATGCATGACTCTTTCCAGCAAAATGTCGGTAAAACCCTGGAAAGAGATTGAAAGGGAATTATGGCTGTAGGAGATCACGTATTGTTATGCACTGTACTTGTTAAAGTGCTAAGGATGAGACAAAAGTTCATTTCTGAGAATCATTTATTAGCAATCAAAAAAGCCTTGGGGATGGAATAAATATGCATTCTTCCATTTTAGTGCTTGGGGCTTTATTTAGTGTAGCTACTGCATGGTCAAACGTTAAGTGTCTACTTCAAGCAAATATTTTTGTTTCATTTACTTATATATTCAGTCCTCATTGCATACAAGTGTAATGCTTTGTGTAACTGAAAATGTTGAACAATTTGACCCTAATGAAGGCTATAAAAATCTCTTCAGCTTAACATACCAAACACAGCAGATCACATCATATTACAGTGATGAAAACTTTAGACGCTTGTGCCTCAGAACAATGCCAATGAGCAAAACTGACAGCTTGGTTGTATATAATGGTACAAACCCCAGGGAATGTCTCACATGTGTCCATAAATGAGTCTTGACATCTGCATAACATCTCCTATTTTCTTCTTAACTTGTTCTGGTTACCATCTGGTGTCTTGGCCACCTAAGTCTCTTGAAGTAGTCTCCCCAGTGTTCACACCTAAGCCATCTCCACCTGGGTACCACTGGCTCCAGTGGGTATTGCTGTCTCCTGGGACACCTAATCCAGGAATTGCTGCTACTTTGGTTGGATATTTGTCTCTTTCTCATTGCTGCAAATGTATTAGAATCCTCAATGGGCTGAAGCCAGCTTGCTTGCTTGCTTGCTTGCTTTCTTTCTTTCTTTCTTTCTTTCTTTCTTTCTTTCTTTCTTTCTTCTCTTTCTACCTTTGTCTGAGACAAGATCTTGCTATGCAGTTCAGCCTGGCCTTGAGCTCACTTTGTAACCCAGGCTGGTCTCAAATTTGTAAAAATCCTCTTGCCTTAGCCTCCTGAGTGCAGGGATTACAGGTGTGTGCCACCATGCTCAGCCTTGAAGCCCGATTTCTGTTTATACAGAAATGAGAATTCTTCCTCCTTTGTTTAGATTTTAGATTCCCCTTACTATTTTTATATAAAAACTTCAAATATAAGTAAAATTGGAAAGAAATGTGCATGAACACATGTTGGGAGTCAGTGAGCTAGTGATTGTTCACACATGTGAGCTGAAAGCACAAGTAATAGAACAAGAGTTCCCCAAGGGCACGGAGCACCTGAGAAATGCCTTAAGGGTATGGAGTGCTGGAGGTGAGCAGGTGTTGCAGCCCAGGGAACACGGCGGGGGGGGGGATGGGGGTATGGGTAGGGGTGCACTGGGTGGGGTGGGGTGGTGGTCAGAAGTGAGCTAGTTAAACCAAGGGGCATGATATGACATGTGTATAAATAAATGCTTTGCGGGGGCTGAGCAGTCTCTTCCTCCCATCTGGAGACGGGCTCCATCTGACCCCAGATTTCTGCCTCTAACTTTGTTTTCTTCATCCTCTTGTCTGCCCCCCCCCCCCATTAGCTGTGGTGGCCACTGACAAACACTGTTATGGCTTGTATCTAGATGTTCCTGCACAGCTCCATGTGGTCATAGATGGGCTTTTTGGAGGTGGCTGGATCTACAGTGTGTAACTGTGGGATTAAGGATGTGACGCTGGGATTGATTCATGGTGTGATGCTAGGATTAAGGTGCCTCACCTTAGGGGTGAGTGCTGCCCACCCTCAGGGCTAGCAGTCTGGGCAGAATCCTAGAGACTGGAAGAGGGCCACTGGTGTTGCTTGTGGCTGCTGATGCTACTTTGCCGCTTTGCTGCCCTCTGCCTGCCATGGGCTGTTTCTCCTCTGTGATGCCCCCTGTCATGCCACCCGGCCTCGGAGCCAGCCAGCTATGCACTGCACCCTCGGCAAACTCTTGAGTTTCAAAAGAATTTTCCTCCATTAGCTTTGGGTGTCAGGTGTTTTGCTTCGGCAGTGAGAAAAGTAACTAAGAGAAACACCTGCATAGTCATTACTCAGATTCTGCTATAAGATTTTGCTAGCAATCCACCATACAATTTTGATTTTGAAGCACACAGAAGTATACTTTATCCCAAACAACTTCAACATGTGTACCACTAACTATAGTTTAATGTTTGTGTGGTTCTTTTTTTTCTTTTTGAAGTAAAATTTATATCCAATGAAACACAAACATTTTAAATCAACCACTCCAAGAATTCTGATAATTGTGTATACCTGTATTTTCCAAATCTCTATCAATTGTTTAAATTTTTTGTATTCTAAAATATGTTATTGAAGCACAATGATCATACAAAAGACTGTGAATATCTGTAAGTGAATAATTTTACGATTATTTACAAACTGCACAGGTGAATGTAAAATTATTCACTTACAGATATTCACAGTCTTTTGTATGATCATTGTGCTTCAATAACATATTTTAGAATACAAAAAATTTAAACAATTGATAGAGATTTGGAAAATACAGGTATACACAATTATCAGAATTCTTTTGTGTCTCTCCCGTAACCACCTCCCGCTGCATGTTTAACTTCACATTTCATTAATATGAATAAGAAGACAGTCTTAGAAAATATTTCAAGAAAACAGATTTTTCAGTTATTATTTATAACACCTCTTCCTCTCATAAATAGCTTATGACTCAAAGGAGATTGATCAAGGAGCAAAATAGTTTGATTTGCACCACTGAAAATCACTCCTTTATCTGATAACTACAAAGTGTTTAAAAAGTAAGTGTTAATTTGTTATAACTAGTTTTCTTTCAATGACTACTTCATAAGAGAAACTAAGACCCAGTTTATTTCTCCCATTAGCTACCACTGCCCTAAAATATGCTGAGAAGGTAGTTTATGTAAATAAAAGTCTAGTAGACAGAAATACTGGATCTTAACCCTGTTACTCAGGTACTCACTCTACAGGCATAAAAACAAATAAAAATTGAATTTTAATTCGTTAATTCATTTACTGTATCAAAACATATTTGGTGGTAAACAAATATTACACAAGAAAATTAATCAGTTCCTTTTTGTCTGATGTTATGGGTGAAAGGTAGGTTTTCTGGTGCTTGACCTGACTATAAAAATCTGGGATGAAAAACGAAAACCAGAACTTTGTTCCTTAAGGAAGAAGGTCTGAAAAATGCTTCTGTCACTATCTTGGTCCCTGAGGTCAATGATGACAAGAGGCACTACATTAGCAGTATTTCTCACTTTGCTAAGAATCACACTTCTGTTTGCTTACAACTCCTAATAAGTTCAAATGAAAATAGAACTGATGAAAAGGAAAGCAGGAGAATGGCTTTCAGAACTCTCACTTCAACCATAAGACCTAGGAGCCAGATTTTCCCTCAGTCATCTTCACTGTCTTCCAGGAAGCTTCTCCCCATTATATCAACATGACATATTCCTACTTGGTTTTTTCTTCTTCAATTAACAGTAAACATATTGTACTTGAAACACTTTTGTAGTCATACTTATCGCTCCATCACACGTCAACCGTAACACTGAGAATCTAGAAGTTTCTCAGTCATTTTGTGTTCTATGATATTCTTACCAATGAGTGCCAACACATCTGAGGCCAGAAGAAACTTGGAGGTGCTTACAGTATGATATGTGCCCACATCCACACAACAGATAGATCCCTTCAACCTGATTTGCTGGCTAGCAAGACCTTCACACCACCAGCTTTTACAGAGTAACTTGAAAGCTTATCAGGAAATTTGGGCACTGACACAAGACTGTGAACATGAAAACTGTACACTAAGAGATAGAGGTAGAAGTAGGATCAGAAGGCTAGAAGCTCTTTTCTTTTAGCAGCAAATTGTCTCCTTTCATCTCCCAAATACCACCTCAGTTCTGCTCTCTTCATGTTGTGAATGGGGGCTATATTAGTGTTTTCCACCCAAATCTCACTTAACCTTCTGTAAAGACAATAATGCAGTAGAAATGTCCATGGAACATATGCAGAATATAAAGGAAAATAAAAGTGTTAAGACCAGTGATAGGGATCTTACTATGAGTAGCAATTGACCTGTTCCTGATTCCTATTCACTTATAACCCTCATTATATTAAGACATTTACTTTACTCATAATTCTTGTTAAATTTTTCTTTTTGAATTGACAACACATCAACATCAAATTTGGATAAGTACCAAGTATCTCTAAAAAGCTACAAAAAACCTAGTCTAACACAAATAGCCACCAAACATATAATTTAGGTAAATAGATGAGTAGAGAAAAATCTAGGAGGAACTCAGGAGAAAGTTGCTAGTTGAAGGGCAGAAACTACCAGGCTGTTAATCTTCTGGAAGGAAGTCTATCTTTATTCCACTATTTTAAAATATGTTTTGTGTCTTTCACTGATTAGCTAGATACTATTGTGATCACGGACAAGCACAGCCTATGACATTTTGAAATTACCAATTTCCCAAACTAATATAACTATAGTGTGTTGCAAAAACTAATACAAGTTGAAAAACAAGAAGAAAAAGGTTCTTGAAGCCTGACTACTCCCAAAGCCTCAACTAAACTGCTAATTCAACAAAACTACTGCCACACTTTCAATAGGCAGTGATGACACGAGATAGTTGGGGGAGGACTAGTGAATGGAAGTCATAGCTGTATTAAAAGAGAGACTTTTTCACAGAAGTAGCCTGTTCTTGGCTTTCCTCCTTTCCTTTTATTTTAACTCATTTTTTTGTTTACAACCTCTTGGTAGATTTCCTTTTTCAAGTTTTTCATCTACAGTCCTGGCATTTTGAAAACTGAGGACAGATCCTATAAAATCAGCATTATGGTATTAAGCCAAAGATCTGAACATCATACATCTAGTAAGTAGAGAAGGGGAAGGGGGAACGAGAGAGCGTAGTGGGACGGGGACTATTGTAAGTTAGTGGTTCTTGGCCCATTTTTCCTTTACTTTTGATCTTTACTTTTGAAGTTTGCCACCCAAAGTGTTCACTTTTGGGAATTTTGATCCCATCTTTTCTAAAGCCTACAAAAAGTTAAGTAAC